CGTTTGTTTTGAATTTTTTAAAGTTATAAATTTTTTTACTAAGCCTTTTTAATATTTTGATTCAAAAATATATCAATAAATATAATAAAAATATACATATATATATATATTTTGGCGTTTCGCGCGAAAAAAAATGGGTGTCATTGGTCACGAGAATATCACAATAAAACAAATATATCATAACAAAATCACAAACTGAAATATAACTTAGCCAATCCTTAAAAAGTTTAGTATTTTTACTTTAACACCATTTTCAAACGCCAAATTTGGAGTCGAAGATTTTTTGGCAAGATTAGATTTTTAAAATATTTTAAATCCAACAATAACCCACGTACATAAACCCACACCTTATAAAAAATAAATATACAAACAAATCTTAATTAATAAAAGACTAAACCTCTTAAGAAAGTTCAAATTTTTTTTTATACATAAAGGTTTTGCCTTTTAATAACCAAGAAATAAAAATTGTCCGTAGTAGTAAGTGTAAAAAGTATTATTTTTTTAAAAAAAGTCGGTTAATGTTTCTTCGGCTATTTCAGATTAGGGTCCCGGCGTTAATTCGTCGGACCAGATAATATAAGAATACTTTTGGGGAAAATAAATAACTATAAAAATAAAAATAATATATATTATTATTTATTTATTATTATTAATATAAAAAAAAAACGCGAAAAAAAAAATTTTTTACTTACATTAAAAAAAAAAATTAATAAAAGTCATTAGAAAAAAAGTCATTAAGCGTCAATATTTGTCGTGGCATTTAAAGTTTCGCACGACATCATCTGGTCACTTGGAGAAGACATTAATGAGTTCAAATCAAATGTATTGTTGAACTGTATATAGTCGGGATATCCGAAGCCAAAGAAATCATAAGAGCTAACATCCGAATCGTTTCCAGGTGAAACACCCTCCATCATAAGATCAAAAGCTGGGTTTTCAACGCAAACATTAAATTCATGAGAATTTGAAGCATTACATGAAGAAGTCGTAGAATATTGTAACTGAGATTGATCATCTAATGAGGGAACATCATCAAAAATATATTCATTATATTCAATGTCATTTAAGTCATTTATGTCCCCACAAGAAATCATTGAGCTCCTTCTTGATTCATCAAAATAATCGATCGTACTAACAGATTCGATTGAAGACCGTCTTTCAATTTGCTGCGGTTGTTGTAAGAATGAAAGATCATCATTGGTTGTTGAAATAGAGTTCATTAAGGGGCTTGTATCGATGGCGCAGTCATTATTATTATTATTATTCGCGTTATCATTATTGGTCTTGTTCGCGTTATTGTTCAAGCTTGCATTAGGTCTCTTGGTACGGCGGCGTTTTTCATGAGGTCTTCGTGGTCTATATTTGTATTCTGGGTACTTCTTCATGTGTTCCATCTTTGCTGCATCAGCTAAACGTTGGAACTTCATTTTCTCTTCTAAGGGCTCTTTGTGCCACATTTCCCCGACTTGTTTAGATACTTCATTGTTTGATATACCTTCGTTTTGTGCCACTATATCAGGTTGTTTTGAACGACGGTATAAGATAAAGGCATTTGGAGGTCTTGGAGGCTTCTTTGGTTTTTGGGCTTTTGCAACCGATCCGCGCGGCGGAGTCGGTGCAGTAGATCTAGCTAACACTAATTGAGGGAACCGAACGTCGGACGATGTAGTAGTATTTGATTGATTATTATTTATATTAGGTAATAATTTTTGTTTATTATTATTATTAACGACGACCACGTCCGGCGCTGCCGCGTTCTGGTTTTGAATTTTTAGTTGTTGCTGATGTTGTTGTTTTTGATGATTAAGAAGCTTGCCATTTTGTAGAAGGTTTGCTACCGGTTGTAATGGAGAACCTCTTGGAATTAAGACCGGCTCAAATCCTTCTGGAATGAAGTATTGAGAACCCTTTCGTTGTTCGAATAAACTGAGGAGTTCGTCATGAGAAATGAACTGAAATGCTGGAGGCTTCGATGTTGTATCTGAACCTTTTACAGAATTCGAGGTCCTTGACGAAGCTGATGTATGTAAGTGTACGTTATTCATGTTTCGTGTCAAGTATTGTATCTTGTTATCGTCGTTCATTTTTCGTGTTTTGCTTTTTTTTTTTTGAATATATACAAATTAAATTTTTTTAAAAGCACGTTCTGTTATATAT